GGGCCGGGCCGGGCCGGGCCGCCGTGGCGGGGAGCGGCGCCGCGCCTCTGGTACAGGTGGCGGGGAGGGGAGGGGAGCGGAGGGGAGGGGAAGGGAGGGTTTAGATGGGGTGGGGGCGGCGGCGGTGGCGCTGGGAGGGGGGCGGCGGGGAGCGGCGCTATGAGGGAAGGGGCACCAGCCTGGAACATGGCGGAGGAGGAACCGGGAGCCGCCGCTGCGTCCGGCCTCGGGCACGGGGGGACCCGGCGGGGGTGGGGGTTGCAGGGCGGCGAGGGGCAGCTGCCGCGGCCCGGCCCGGGGCCCGGCCCTGCCTTTCGCCGCCGCCCCCCGCCCGCCGGTCCCCAGAGCAGAAGTTGGAGCGGAAGCGGAAAGTTGTAACCCCGCGGGTCGGGGCCGCGACGTGGGGCCCGGGCGGCCGCGGGGAGGGGCGGGTGACGCCCGGCTCGGCCCTGCCGCGGGCGGGGAAGGGGACGGTCCCCGGCGGCCGCCGGCGTTGTCAGCGGGAAGTCCGAGCCGAGCCCCACCTAGTCCGGCCGCCGGGAGAAGCCGCTCGCTCTTTCCGGCCGGTGTGTGCGGGCGGGGCGGGGGGGTCGGGCCGGGCGGGCAGCCCGCAGGGATTGTGCCGGGGGTGGCCATGGAGCAGGACAAGCGGGCAGCGCCCTGGCCAGCGAGCTTCCCTCGGGCTTATCACAAAATGAAAAGGGGATGACAGGGATGTTTGTCTCGTCTAAGCACCCCACCACCACTCGTGTCAAAGCAAATGGAAGAATTTGACTGACACTTCCTGCGCCAAACCCGTCAAATGGACCTGAGATCCTTGTACCCTTCTGTTCGCGTTTGTGAAGGAGCGGTGGAAGGAAACCAAAGTTTGCAGAGAGGAAAATAAAATCAAATCCAACTGTTTTTGCACTGGCCCCAGATTACAAAAGAGGATAAGAAACCAAGGTTTTCTGCGAAAAAACAACAGTGTGCTCTTACTCCCATTTCCATCTTAAAGGGATGGGTTGTGCTGCTCAGGGTAAAGGAAACAAAAAAAAGAAAGTCTTTTTCTGTACTGTTTCAGGGTATGGTAGTACGGTGAAACAGTTCCAAGAGAGAGGGTGTGTCAGAGATGCCCAGCTGTGTGAAAAACACACAGGTCGCGTGTATGTTTTTGCATTTACATGTTTTGATTAGTGTAATTTGTAATTTTCAGCATATAACAGCTACATCTTACCCAAGTGTGAGATGTGTAGACAGTGTTTGACAGTAAAGTATACATTGAAATTACTGTTATAAAAAAGGAGACAAGAACACTCTTCTTTTTCATTAATTATAATTAAAAGGAAAAAAGCAATTGCATTGCCTTAAAGAGCAGCCATTCAAAAATAAATGTATTTCCCTTTGGAAAGAGTTTCTTTTCACCTCTATGGAAAACTTTAAACATTAGTCAAATTATTACCTTTTGGACGACTTTCCTCTATATTAAAATTGCAAGCTTTTGTGAGGAAAAAACCAACCAAACTTGCAACAGTCGAGTACTTTCACTTTCTTTATTCATTGCACCTTTTTTTACTCTCACTGAAAGTCTATCCTGTAGACTTCATTCCAGATAAAAATGAGCTAAGTGAGTAATGGGGGTTACCTTGTCTGTTCACAATGAAGGCTTTGCAAAAATAAACTTTCTATCTAATTAGATGCAGTGTTTTATTTCCTTGGTACCTTTATGTTTTCAGGCATGCTTCTTGTAGTGGTGTGAACTACTTCAGTTTTAACTTAGAGCTGTAGTGCAAAATTCCGTTACTATCTGTACCCATGTAACTGAGTTTTGAGTTGGACTGTGCAATATAAGTGCCATGTATCTTTTTTGCAGCAAAGATGATCATACTTGGAGCACCTGTCTGCCTGGGGGTGAAATAATCTGCAAAACAGAGTTGAAAGACTATAAGTGTAAAACCAGAACTTGTATATAGGGGGACAAGAAACCCCGGTAGTCTTTTTTTTTTTTTTAACTCTCTGTACCTGTGCGTCATGCTTCTATTACTATATGCTTGCACCAGATAAGTTTTCTGAGTGGAATTAAAATTGTGCTATTTTGTTCCAAAGCTCTGCTGTAGGACAGTTCATCAAAAATAAATCTGAAGTGAGCCATGACAGTTCTTTTTGTGCTGTGCCAGTTTTGCACAGTAAAACTGACTGTCTTTTTAATTGAGAGCCTTTCTGGAGCAGAGGCAAACAGATGGGAATCTAGGTGAGGGCCTACAGAAGGAGAAAGAAATTGCTCGTATGGCGAGGAATGAAGTGTGCTGAAGACTCCACTGTAGCTTGTGATCTAACAGTTAGTAAATGTGACAGGGAACTAAAATAAACAGTTGTCCACCTATCATCTGGGATGTGGGAAGTGCAAGAGTCACAGAAGTACTTGAGTACTTGATGCTTACTGCTATAGTGCCAATCCTGTCATCCGCAGAGCTCTGCTGGCTGCTCGGGGTTAGGTATAGAGAGGTGCTTTTAAGGATAAGAATATCTTAGAGATAAAAACAGGCACTCTCTTGACCTTGGGTGTATGCTAAGAGGGTAGGTGGATCCTTTATGAATTGGTTGGTCTAAGTAATGCTTAGATGACTTTCAGATACTTTACCGACATTTGTGTGTTCTTCAGGTTAGGCTCAAGTTGTTGTGAGTTTTAATCAAAATTACTCTCTTAGTAAACAGGTCACTAAGCATACCTCATGCAACAGAAGTTCATGTTTAGCTTGTGGTTGCAAATGCTGCCATTCCTTTACCTCAGAACAAATCCAAAAGCAGACCGAAGCGCACTATGTGGTGTCAGTGTGCTGAATCCCTGCTGAGTTGGGGCAGGCTTCTGCTGTGTTCTGTAGCATCTAGGTCAGGTAGAGGGATATTTTAGACAGCCTTCTTGTTCAGAGAGATTAAAGGAGTATCTGCAGTAACTACACCTTTATATTTGAAGGCAAACTTTGTTTTCCTGCTCAGATATCATTAAGACGGTCTGTTTCCATTCTTCTTGCATAGACCAGGGAAAAAAAGAAGTATTTTTGTACTCAAATGCCATTAATAGGAGATTTGTTTTCAAGTTGACTTGAGTTTTCAAAGTTGTTTAACAGGTGACTGTAGTAGAGCTTTAGTATCTCAGAGCATCTAATGTATGGCTTTCTCCTTAGGGCCTGTCAACTGAGTGAGACAGGCGTAGTAGAAGTCGTACTTTGATGAAGCTATGGCAGTTTGTTTGTAGTAGGCAAACACTATATGGAGAAAGTCAAAGACTTGTCAGCTGGTACAAACTGTTTCTTCATGGAGCAGTTGAATGAGGTTACCTTCAAAAGCAGCAGTAGGTTCTTTCTTGAAACTCATCTGTGAAGCTTTAGAATGCCTAAAGAAACACTGGACACTAAAAGTGATAAAGGTTTTTTTATTTTTATGTGTCTGCCTATGCATGCTGTTGTGAGCTCCTGACAACTGCATGTTCTCTCTTCTAGCAGCAAGGAAAGGGAGAAGGCTGTAAACACCAGGTTAGAAATCTGCCTGTGAAGCAACTTTTGAAATATAAAATGATTTGGGGGCCCTCTAGCTATTCAGGATGCTCTTTTTTCAAGAATAGTGTTTTAACAGTGATTTTTACTACTGAAGCAGTAGAGTGAAAGTCACTATAAGACCCTAGAGGGCCATGTGTTGCAGAGTTAAAGGAACTTTGTAGAGGTGAACCAGGAAGAAGAAGAGACATTTGACAATATCTCGTACAGTGTCCCAGTCAGCTTCCCAGTTATTAATCTAAGGAATTGACGTTATTTGAAGTAAATCCCTGCTATGCAGCTACAAAAAGAGACTGCCAATTCAGCCCACATGGTTAGTTCATTCCTGGCCAAGGGAGGAAGGCCAGACCATAGTGCAGGAGTAGGACAGCCTAGCCCTTCTAATGGATTGGTGTTTGCATCCTGTGGCAGACAAGCAGCATCTCGTGTTTCTCTCCAGTTTGAGATTCTCTTCAGGAAATCTGTACTTTCTTAGATCACTTGGTATCATTCCTGCAGCTGTTGCAACACAGGAAGGTGTGCTAAATCTGAATGACTTGACCGGGTCTTCTGTAAAAAGGATATTGTATGCCACTGTTACTCATTCATGAAATAATTTTCAATGTAACTCTAATTGTAGAGCTGTGAGAAACTTTATGTCATTAAATTTTTGGACAGAATTGAACAGGAATGGGAGAACAGTTTATTTTCATAACTGAGGACAAACTTAAAGCAGGGATCCATAGTTAAAATTCTTTTTCATAGAAAGAGAATGTGCTCTTTGCATCAAGATTTGTTGACATCAAAGGGAATGTTACTCTTACTTGCTTTAATTATAGCACTTATTATTAAGTCAGTTAGTACCTGATTTTGGTAGGTAATCCAGATTAAAGGAAAACATGCATTTCAACAATATTTCCATTAGTATGGCTTACTCCATAACTTTTTGAGACATTAGATGGTGAAAACTTTTTCTCAAATGAATTTGCTATCTATTGCCCAAATAATGTATGTTGTCTAGCCTCTTCTTCAGTTAGTCTGAAATAATTTGTGAACACAGATAGTCCCTGCAACTGTTTTTGTTTCTCTGCATTAGTTGTCTTAGCTTTTGAGGTCTTGTCCTATTTTTTTCCACTCGCAGTCTCTGTTTCTGCAACCTAACCAGTTGTGCTTCGCTTTTTTTCTATGTTTGCAGTGGAGTCTGAAGTAAAGTTTCTTAAAAACATGCTTTGTATATCAGGAAGAAGAAAAAAAAAAAGTATGACCACATCTGTATTAAAAGTGAACTTCAGATACTTCTGAGTTACCTGTGTAGAGTTCCAGAGGGGAGAGGTACAGGAGACGGAAGGAGGATCCGTGTGTTACTATAAGTGGCACTTCAGCACTACTGAAATACAAGTGGTTTTGGTAGTTGCAGACCAGCTGCTTTGATTTTTCTAGAGGTTTCATGTATGGTCAGTATTTTTTGAGATGAAGCTAGGAAGCTGAACAGTGGCTGGACTACATCAGAACCCAGACAATAGTGATAGGTAAGTTGTGCAATTGTACAGTCTTTTACCTGCAGTAATACCTGGTCTAATACTTCCCCAAAAAGTGATTTGTTGGAAGACTAGAGGAAAGTTGCAAAGTATTTTATTTTTTCTGAATGTGGAGAAGGGTAAACTGGAATGTGGAAAGGAAGTAATATCTTAAAGTGGAAGTTACCTAAAAATCTTACTTTCTGTAATACAGTATTTAGGACTAGAATTATTTATTTATTTATAAGGTGACATTTACAGTTGAGACTGAGTTGTGAATGCCAGGCTAGATGGGGCCCTGAGCAACCTGATCTAGTGGGTGGTATCCCTTCCCATGGCCAGTGGAACTACATCATCTTTTAGGTCCCTTCCAGTCCAAGCCTTTCTGTGTGTATGGCTGTGTGTCCAGGCTTGCCTGGGGGCAGCCCAACAGCATAGTGTGCACGAACCTCTTTTATTAATCTTGCAATTTGTTAGATTGTTAGAGGTTGTAAGATGCAGTCAGTGACCCTCCTGTGGTCTTTCACTCTGAAGCTACTTACAAGGTAACATTCTGAAAACTTGATGTACAAGATGACCCATAAACATAGCCTGCTTGGCTTCATGTGATTTACTTTTGCATCTAATATTGCTGAAGGATTTTCTTTGGGTAGGGAGAGTGCATAAATT